AAAAAAAAAAAAAAAAAAAAACCCCTAGAAAATCATATCTTTGCCTGCTCCCCTACTTGCTACTTTGTAGAGAAGTCTTTATCGCACTCTATTGCAAGTTATGCTACCTAGGTACTTCTATCATGAAGACGTACTTGTACCTTTCTTGGACACTCCTTAAAATATGCGTACATTTATTTACGTGTAAATAAATTATACAATAAACGTTCTATTTTAAAGCACTCGTCATAAACTTTTCTTGGACATATATCCACACTTCACATCTATTTTTAAACTTTTAAACTTGTTGGACAAGGATCATAGTTCGATTTAGCCCTTATTCAGTTAGAGACGTATTTCAAAAGGTCGTTTGCTTATCTCGCTCAGAACTGTAATTACAACGCACGTGTTCCAGTTATGTCCCCGTACCTCACCTTTAACAACTTCGCCATGTCCCGTACCCGCATCTGCACCTATATGTATATCCATGCAACTTCGGTGCAGGTACTAGGCCTAACTATCTTGGAGAGATGAGGGAAAAACTAGTTGGTTAATGTAGTTTAGTTAATTTAAAGTTAAGATAACGATTTTTAACTTTGAGGGACTTAATTAAGAGAACATTTAGAAGGGGACTTGTTTAAATTAAAAATATGAGTTTTGATGGACATATTAAAAAATACTTATAGTTTTGAAAGACTTATTTAAAATATCCCGGCTCTGTGGTCTTATTAGAAAATAAGGTAGATTTGGGGGACCAATTTAAGAAAAATCCAAACATTTAATCAAATCAAATGAGAGTTATACCTGAAAAGAAAGTGTCCACGACTCCTGAGATCTCACAAGTTAAACATTGATATTTTCTTTAGATTTAACTAAATCATATTTATGTGACATATCTAATTAGTAATTAATAAGGTATGTATCAACTAAGGTTTCGGCTTGGGTTGTCATGGAGAGCTTGAAGTTTGTTCATATTTATGGTTGTCGGTGTTTAGGCCGCAAAATTAAGGTTTTGGAATCAGTGGCGGAACCACATTAGCCTTACCCTGGGCAGCTGCCCAGGGCAAGATTTGAAAATATATATATAGCAGTGTCGGTACATAATTTGAGCTGAATTCATAGAATGTTTGGAATTAGTACATAGTTAACTGGAGAGATTATGTCAAGGACTAAGAAAGAGAATTTATTGTGATAATTAATCATTTATGATATAGTTAACTGGAGAGATTATGTCAAGGACTAAGAAAGAGAATTTATTGTGATAATTAATCATTTATGATGCGTAATTAAATCGGCACACAACCCTGAAAAATTACTCTCGGATGAGTTTAGCAGTGTCGATACATAATTAAGGAGGAGGTTTTCTTTTTTCCCCTTAGGAAGGTGAGGGCGGCGAACATGTCGTTGACAATGTAGAAAAAGGCGTTCTGATGCGCTCGTGAGGTGTTTTAGACCACCTTTATTTTTCGTCCAGGGCAAAAAAGTAATCCTGGCTACGCCACTGTTTGGAATCACTCCTTTAGTATCACACAATATCATTAATAATGCAATACTAAATTTTATTCATCAACAACTCAATAATAAATATGAATGTTGCAATTATACAATGTTTATATAGGATTCCCATAGGCTAAATTAGCAGATTGGTATATTTAGTAGCACCACCAATAAGGTATATTTAGTGGCTCCGGCGTCAATAAGGTAATAAAAAAATGAGTCCATTTAGCCAATAAGGCCTATCTGATCAGAGGTGGTGAAGTTTGAGTGCCAAATTATGAACATTTTGCATATAAATCCCTCAAATCTCTCATATTTACAAAACTCCCCTCAAAATTTGAATTTTTAAGAAAACCTATCTCTCTCTTCTCCTCCCTTCCCCCTCCCCCTACCTCCTTTCTGGTTGGTTTTGGTTCAATGGATGGGCTGATATTGGAGTCATGCATTGGATTTGTGTAACATTATATTTTCATGAGCTTGTATAGAGAAAATATTAAGAAGACATTGGGGGGGGAGAGCGGATGAGGGAGGTGAAGAAGAGGAGTGGAGGAAGGGGGAAGCAATGGCTAAAAAGGGAGAAGGAGGAAGAGGAGGGGAGGTGGGAGAGGAGGAGAGGGGAGGGGCAGAGGAAGGGGGCGATGAGAGAGATTTTATTTTTGCAAAAATCAAGATTTGAGGTAAATTTATAAAAATGAAAAACTGGATGGTATATATGCAAAATATGCATCATTTGATGTACGAATTTCACTGTTGGCGATTGGATAGGCCTTATCGCCTATATGACTCACTTTTTATATCTTATTGTCACCAGAACAATTAAATATACCTTATTGATAAATAGGTACCACTAAATATATCAATTTGGTAATTTTGTCAACTCTCATGTCTCACGTTACGCTGACATGGAGTAAGGTACTGTCTCCCATATTACACTGACATCGAGTTAGGTACAACTACATGACACGACAAATTTGTACATGGTAGGGTTGGGAGACATTATGATGTATACTAATAATAATAAATAATAATTATAATTTACATGAGACTGATGTTGTTTTCATCCTCATGATATGAGAATTAAAATTACTATAAATTTTTTTATGTTTCTCCTATTATGTAGATTATAAATTAGAAAACTGCTTGTTTTTGAACTTGATATCTAAAAGATCCTTTAAAATCATTGTTTGGAACTGGATATCAACCTGAAGCGTGTGCAAAGGGTTTCAAGCCGTGTATGTGACGCATAGGATATATGTCTGAGAAGCATATGAAGAGGGTCTTAAATTAGAATATGTATTATATAATTGAGCATGTGCTTTGAATAAATGTGGGCATATATTCAAGGAGCGTCCAATAATATGTAGTCGTCCAGTATGGGTACAAGTCATGTACAACTTTAGAGAGAACTATCCATGCTATATAGATTACAATGTATGTACTACCCTCATTACGTCATAGCGATTTCAAATGGGGCTGAAACAATGTTCAGATTACATAAGGACTAAAAAAAAAACATAAATTTGACCTATAATAAAAGGGTCTAAAGCTGATATAAATAATATTAAAGCGGAAATAAAGTAAACTACTGAAATAAACTTAACATAGAACCTGCTTCATCCATGATCCTCAATAGTAGTATCTGAAATATCTGGAAGAAACAAGATTTCCTTCAACTCCTCGAGTTATAAAAATTCTCCCATGACAAGGGATGGTGGCAATAAGCATCAGGCTTGGTGCTGTCAACTTGAACAACCTCCTTGGTGCGAAGCTACCTGCAATTTGAATCTGGATGTCTTTGCCAACATACCAAGTATCATCGAAAGCCTGTGTCTACTGTCGAGACGATTTCATCATCCAACATGTGCTCATTGTTGTCAAGTGCGCACTATGTGGTATTGATTGAGAAGATGAAACAAACTCTGCTTTGTACAGTAGATGGTGATGATGCTAAGGAATTAAGATATGTTGGGAAAACCATATGGCTCAAGGGAAAGGGTTAGATCCTTAATTTAAAGACTGGATTGGTTGCAAGATTGTTTGTAATGCCAAGCTCATAGCACTTGAACCGATCTTTTAGTAATTCTACGAGGCCTGTTTGACGTGCGTGCAAACTCATCATATTTCTTGGTGCTAACTTTTAGACTGCAGTAGCGTAACCTAGTCCCAAACATTATAATAAATAGTTTCATTGATAAGAATTGACCAGTTAGAGGAAGTAATAGGCTAGATGGGTCAGTTAAATTGTATCCTTCTTTCTTAGGGATGTAATGCATTTTATATCCAATAACTGCATTGCAATATCAATCATTCCTTTGAAAATAATGCGTAGGCAATAGGCATTAAAGATATATATTATCAATGATAGTTCTCTTTGGTATAATTCTCTAGAATAATGTTTGATGTGTTTAGTTTCTTTTACCGCTTCATTTGATTTATCAGCATAAGTCGAAGGTAATAGTGAATTTTCTAACCATTCCTGGACTTGACTACTGCATCCATGACAAAAAATATTCAACTGTTTAGTGAGTTTTGTATTAAAACAATACCCTAGTCGAATATCTTTTATTCTTTTCAAGCTTTCATGAATAGTTTTTTTTTAATGATATCAAACTTACGGAACTTTTAGACTTCTGCAGATGGTGTGATCAATTATGTCTTAGTGGTTCCTCAAGAATCACCAAATGAAAGTCACTCCCGGGAGTTGTCTTCTTTGTCCAGAATTACTGATTTAAAACTGGTTGCTGCCGTCTTATCTGGAAGATTAGACTCTTCGATGTTGAATCAACCTTCTAGTAAGTATTTATGACTCATAACTCTTAAGTGGATCCACTTGTCATTTGTCACCACAAATTATTGTCAAATCAAGTGTTGCGCATTTAGAAGTAGTGGAACATTTAAGTTATTGAATGCTTATGATTCTTTAGAAGAAAATTCAAGTTATTTGTGTGGATATGCATACTACCTCATGCATGCCCTGCAACTATCAAATTCTTAGGCATACAGTTGTGTGTAGTAGAGCTTTTAAGGGTCCCCAAACCTTGAGCGGACCTTAAGTAAAATCCTGGGATGCAAAGTCCATAAATTGAAACCCAAAGCTTGAGGACCACAACCATAGGCTTTTGGCCTCCTCAATGATTTCATCTTGGCTATGCCACAAGCGCAGATAAAGCACTCAATACATACAACTTGTCTGCACAAGTATAATGGATGCATGCTGACCTATACATGTGCACATACTATCATGAGTAACATAATAAATGTTACGGTTCATGTCGAATGTGATGAAGTAATAGAATATGTTCCTGGTGAAAATGATTTGACAAGTATTCTACTTGAGGATATGAGTTAGTTATTGTATCATTATCATAATCATTATTATCTAAGCCTTTACTTTCACAACTAGATATTTGGTCTAGATTGTCAGTTCATATTCTTCGGGCACGCCCCATATCCAAATCTTATTAGTGGAATTCAAATTGCTAAGTGGACTAAGATATTTTAAATCTCTATTTCTACATGTACTTACGAGTTGAAGTTGAAATTCCTTTGTGAGGATTGAAAAAGTAGAAGTCAACTTGATGCCAATCCGAAAAGTGCTGATTTTGCCCATAGGCAATTGTCTAAGTGAAGAAACATGATTAATATTAATTATAAGACTAACAAGTAATGTGCAAGTAAACACTATACTGATAAATTACAACAAAAATTGCAAACAAGCCTCAATTTGTCTATTATGAGGTCTGGTGTTTCCTTTGTTTCTATATCCTTGTTCTACCAAAAAAAAAAACAAAAAACAAAAAACAAAAAATAATATAAAAAAAGAAAGGTTAGGTATTTAGCACAGGATAGTAAGCTGCATCACCATATGCTAATCCTTCAATACCATGTATATAAATTTCTAAATGTGTATTTAAATCAAAATAGAAAATAATATGTTATGAAACATTTATAACATGTTTTTTACATGGGGGCCTTCTGTTACAAAACACAAAAAAACTTCGTAATGCTGCATTCTGTGAAAAATGCACTATGCATATTACAAAATCCATTGTGTAACTGTGTTTTTTGCCATTATATGAAAAACCCTAACCGTTCATTTATTAATGGGACACATTCTACCTTGTAAAATTCACCAAACATCCCCAGTCAATCCCTTCTGATCCAATTCATTTCCCCCGATCTTTAACCCTAGTCACTAACCTCGACCCTCTCTTCCCTCGTTATAAATATCCTGACATGACCAATATATCGGTTGATGTTTCTTTGTATGAGGCTTGGTGCAAAACAATATGGTTTTAGTATCCTTTATCGCTTTTTGCAACATTTTGGCTATATCATGATATTCCTGATATATCAGGTGAAATTTCAGCCACAAAAAGGTAAGCTAAAACTTTGTAATGTTGATTTGGACGTTAATTTTTTTTTTAAAGATCAGTTTGGACTTATAGTTCAGTTGAGGTTTAAAATCTTCCAAACAGATATTTGCTTATATAAATAACCGAAAAGAAGAATTAAATAAGCAAAATAGAGAGTAGGGCTCAATTTAGAGCAAAATTTTCCCAAAGTTTTGCGAAAGATTTTATCATTCTCCACATCTTCATTCTTTAGCGTATCAGGTATGAACAAATATGATTTATGTATAAAAATTATCCAATTTGACACCCTGCTATTCATTCAATATTTTTGATATTGCTTTGCTTTTTCGTGCAGTTATTGTATCATCCTCACATTCTACTGATGAGACTATTGTAGCGGATTCTGAGGTGGAGATAGATACAGCAACATCTAAGATAGTCCCTTCCACTTTCAATTCTCAAGATGCCATAAAGCGAGAAGATGAAGATCAAAAAGGAAAAAAGTCCGGAGACATAACAGATACAACCAAGTGTCAAGGGGAGAAGAAGTCAACCGCTTATCTTCAGACGTCATCCGACAATAGTAAAATGCCATGTCCCAGGGACGAGGTTGTTGCTTCCATGAAGAAATTGGACAAGGGTGATGAACCTTTCCCTGACCGACATGAGAACTCTGATATCATATTTAGCCCAGATTTGGTTGTGAGAGGCACCATTCCAGTAACTGTTCAATCTACCACAAAGGATGTTGTCAATTTCAAGTGCTTTAGAAAGGTAAATAACTGCGAGATTATTCACCTGACTTCTCCGGACCATTTGTCTTCAAATATGTATTCACCTGACTTTTCCGGACCATTTGTCTTCAAGTATGTCTATCCTATTCAACTTTTTCTAATCAACTTGCAACCTTTTCAGGGGGAGAAAAAGTCTGGCAATAGCTTCACAGACCTGATTCCATTTTCAAAAGATCCATACAAGTATGTGAATGCATGATTATATTTCTGCTATTCATGAAAACACTTTGGGTTAAAAAATATTCTAAAACTTAAAATGTTCTTTAGAGAATCTGACTATGGAAGCAACGAGTCGGAGTATATGAGAGAAGAAAAGAAGAGAAAGCAATTGGAAGCTGTTGCTGAGGATTTATTTAACAATGAAAAGGTACTCATAGAAGACTTACAGGTTTAATGTGCTGATTTAACGATAAAAAAGATTTATTTAACCATTTTGTCACTATTAATTTGTGTTTTTAATAATGGGATTCAACACTCACCAGGCAAGGAAGCGGGCAGTTGGTGGTGCTTCTATCCAGTCCTTTCTTACCCGTCGCTAAAGGCATGTACCAGGTGGAGATGAACTCTTCCTTATTATCGACAGGATGTCTTGCTGTACAGAAGATGTCATTGGATGAAATTTTTTTCTTGTACAGCATCCAATGAGTGTCATCTTTACTAAGGGGCTGTTTGGTTGCTTTCCACCATTTTCCAAGTTCAACATTCCTTTATTTTTTTGATGTTTCCTTCACTTTCATGGAAAGTTATTTCTTGTGTTTGTTTTGTCAAAAATATAGAGAATAATTACTTTCCACCACATTCACTTGTTCGGTTCAATTTGAAAAGAGAAGAAAGTTGTTGATGTATGAGTAGATTCTCTCATTCTCTAGTGTTTGTTTCAAACTAAAAGAATGAAGAAAACTTGATTGTGGTACATGGTGTGATTACTACCCATATAAGATAGAATTATTGGCAACCAAAGTTGAGGGGTCAACTTGCTTTCATTCACACGGTGAATATTTGAGGGAGAAATTTCAAAACATTTAAAGATGTGAAGGAGTAATTTGCAAATATGTTTAAAGATTTAAGGTGGTAATTTACCAAATCTTCACATATTAACATTTGAGGGAAAATTTAAAAAAACTTCAACTGGTCCGTGGAGGTACTTAGGCGCCCCATGAAAAAAAAGTTCTATTATGAACCTTGAATACTTTAAAAAAAAGTTCTATTATGCTCAGTCTAGATCTATGTCATCATAATATGTCTCACCATTAAATCTATAACAACAATGTTGGCTGCATGTGTTGCCTTGCCAATTGATTACTACCATAAACTTTGGTTGCATACATTAAAAAAAGTCCATAATCATAGCATAATATCACGTTACCACTATCATAACAACCATTTGAACAAATTAATAACAAATATGCACAATCTTAAACCTAAAGCCAAGTCATATAACCAAGAGCCAACAACCAAATGTCCCTACAAACGTGGCAATCTAAAGAATCAAGTTATATAACCGAATAATATAGCTACCACATGTAACCAATAGCCAATAATAGAAATGGTAATATGAAGAATCAAGTTATATAACCAAGAACCAAGTTGAAAATAACACATTTACCGAGGCAAATGACAACCCGTCTGGTATGAAATGATTCGATCGAGAGGTATTCTTGAGGGATAGGCAAGAACGACTCCTTCTCCATGATAGGCGGCACCAACTACTCCTTATCCAACCGCAACTCCAACGGGCACCGAAATGATGAATGTCCTGACGTGATCCGAGAGATTATTCAGCTCTAAGCAATTCTAACCTAGGATGAGACCGCCAGATGCACTCATTGCATCTTTGACGAACCAGCTATCCAGGTAGCCACCAGAGATGGAGAGTTGGGAAGGGGTGGGGAACGACAAGAGCTTCGATTCCTGGAGGCACAAGACAAGACGTTTGTGAGTGCAAACGAGATCAGCGATTGCGCGTTGTTTAGGGGGTGCGCCGAGAGCAAGAATGAAAGGGACCGAATTGACGGACACAAGGACCGGTACCTTTCCCACAGAAGGAAAAGGCAAGGCCACTTTGAAAGAAGAACCGATTGCCACTTTCGCGAAAGAACATTTATCCAAAAATGTTCTGTCCTCTAGCTAGTTGAGCTTGCGCGATTAACTACAAGAAATGATGAGACGAGGAATTGAGAGATCGTGGGATAGCGAAAATCTACCTATTCCTTTACTGAGGCAGGCTGTTCAAACAATAAACATGTTGAAACAAGATTGAAACCAAGCACACAACCAGGTAACCTTTTCAAACAATGAACATGTTGAAACAAGAGTCGAAGCATAGAAGTGAAGTATTAGTCCTGCAGAGACTAGTATATAGAACATGCAACAGAAACCAAGACTAAGATCAAGTCTGAAACCACTATAAAGACCATCCAAGTTGCAAACCAAGATTGAAACCAAATCTGAGACCAATATTGAAACCAACATAGAAACCATCCAACTTGCAAACCAAGATTGAAAAATGTAATGAAATCAATAAGCTTACAAGTACATCACTAGCATGTAATGTACAAAAATATGCACAGAAGCTTCAACCTCTTACCATGTTCTAATGCACAAAAAAAAAAAAATCAGAAATCAAAAATTCCAAACCAAGACTAAGCCAATGACATAACTTTCAGCATTTGAAAGAACAAAACAGAGCTTAGCAACATGCAATCAACTGAGTACAAATTCAGAGCCAAGCACAAAAAATTGCTCGGTTAAGGACATTTTCTTCATTATCTGCCTCACCATGAAATTTACAATAGCAATGTTAGCTGCAATTATCATAATGACCCTACATAATAAGCATTGTCATCATGGATTATCTCGCCAATAGATTGCTGCTATAAACTTTGGTTGCATATTTTAAGAATAGACCATCATCATAGCATAAAAAATGATAACATCTGCGTCATATAATCAAGAAAAGAATTGATACCATATCACTTTAACTTTCCTTCCATCACACTAGAAATATGTAGGACACTCTCAGGCCATCAAGGTGAAATCTTCACCTTATCTAACTTGTAAACTTGTCAAACAAGTACGCATTAGTAATCAAATATTCAATATAACATGTAAAATGTATATATCATAGTCTATAAACTGAATACTAAGCATGTAAAGTCACGATTGAGATGCATGAAGATATAGATAGCAACATTACTTTCAAGGTAACTTTCACAAAATTACTTGACTAGCAAGAACAAGAACAACTTATCACCATGAAGAATTACTTACGAGAAACAAAGGTAACTTTCACAAAATTACTTGACTAGCATGAACTGTCAAAATTGAAGGAAATACAATGAAATATCGAAAAGTATTGCAAACAGTATATGCAACAATCCGAAACCCAAGAAACACATCCGTTCCATGAGGAATTTCATCAAACAGTGTATAGTTTTAAGTATATAGTACATGCTTGTGCATAAAATACATTGTTAACACATGCTAATGTAATTACTAAATATGTGCGTAAAAAGTTATTGCGAACAATAATATTAGTATATATTTTTAAGTTTCTGAAATTTTACTTCTTGAACTGTGAATTGCCTTACATATTAACAGCAAACATTGTTGTTCAGTTTGAGAAGTTTGCTTGTGAGCCAATGTGGAAAGAGCAAGTGCCTAAAAGAAGTGTCGTTATAGTGAAGCAGGCATCAAGGTTGCAGATATTCAGAAATCATTATTAAATTAAAATGAACAATTTGGTCAAACTATTAACCTTGAATTTACCATTTGGAGGGGTTTGTTATTGGAATTATTAATCTACTTGAGAGCTTGTCCATCTCCCCATTTCAATTAATCAGGTACTCCCTTTTTCTACTTCAGTCAGGTTGTTAATCATGACATCTTGTATATTATAATTTTAAGGCAGCGAATGAATCTTGCAAAAAAATAAAGTTATTCATTTGTTTGTGTCAGTTTGAATTTTAGAGTCAGCTTGTATAGAAAGTTCCACTGCTTCAATTGTTGTATTCTGTTGCAGTGGGTGAATGCTCTTGTGAATTATGTTACTTAATTCCTCTAAAGCTCTGATCGGGTCCTGGAATGTTTAAGGAACATGAAAACAAAGTTAAAAAGGGTCTAATTAAGCAATGTTACTCTAATGGTGATCAGACCAATTTTGCTATATTTATTCATTTTTATAGCACTTGTAATTAAGCATGTAATTAATACTTCCCTTGATGTTAACTTATATCCCTATTCTTGTATCCCCTCATCGGCTACGTGAACATGGATGTCATAATAAATGGACGCTATTTGTAGGGATACTTTTGTTTGAGGGTGAGCCTGTGATACACGACTATGATGTTACCACAATGGGGCAGTAAGGTTTATGAGAAATGTGTTTACCTATTTTAATGGACTTTGGTGATGGTATAATTTACTTCGATACACCGGGATGAGGCAGTTAATATTGTTAGAAATGGTTGAAGTCTTGAGATGGCATCCCATTCCTTAATTCTATGTTTTTTTTTTATCCTTGCTCCACAGATTGTATAGGCCAGCATTCAAGAACTTGTGAAACTACTGTGTAAGTTACAATATTGGTAACAAGTATGCGTAGATTTGTTATTTTATGTTATTTTATTATGAAAGCATGGTGTTTAGTTTCAATGCAATTTTGGTAATAAATCTATCACTCTTTCTAGAGATGTGAGTTATAAGCTCATATATGTGGGTGAATATAATTTATGAATATTTTTTACAAAGACAGAACGATGAAGACAAACAGATAAGAACTCATCAAAAAATGCAAAAAAGACACGGTCATGTCACTGATATGTTAAATATTTGACGATGGGCTCACAAAATGAACACATTAGACTCACATGCATGTTTTAAGGGGGCAAAAAAAAAAGCAAATTGATATTTGTGGGGTAGTTGAGAGTTCACCAATACTTTAATGATTATAAATCATGTGAGAACATGGTCTGAATCTGTTAGGTATAGGAAATCTTTCTAATAATTTTCACTATACTAACAGTAAGAATATGGAGATGTATATCGTAATTTAACCGAAAGGGCTAATCCTGTTCAGGTTTCCACTGCTAGAAGTAAGAATAGATAGGGCACAAATCTACTGTAAGTTTATAGTTCTTTTGTTTTGTACCTTGCGTGTACTTTCATTAATTCCTTGGTTGTTGATTCCTGTACTAATATTACTCTTCTAATTTGACACTTTGATGTGCTCTCTTTCGAAGTTCACACCAATACAAAGTGTTTGAATTGCTGTTTTAAGCTTGATCATTAGTATTTGTGGCATATTGACATCGATGGAGATGAGATTACGGGACAATCGTCTTTTGTTCATGACCTGAAACGTCACGGGCTCTTCCTTCTTGTATTTTGATGTACGCTTCTGATGCTGGGAGGCGGGGTTATTTTCTTCTTCCTTTTTTGCCCTCTTTATATTTAGTTTGAGGTCCATCTTCATAATTTGTTTGGATGCGCGTGCATTTCTTCAATCACGTGACTAATGTCCGAGGACAAAAAGTTATGTTGCTTTTCGAAGTTATTGCTGTGGCCTGTGTGCAAGCTCTCGCTAATGACCGATCCGTTTGTTTCAGACGTTTGATCCTTAGGCCTATTGCTTGTAGCCTCTTAGAAAAATCATCTTTTGTGGTATGCATGATAAATATAAAGATTTGAGAGACCAATACCATGTATATAGCAAAATCTGAGGCGAGCCGTAGCCATAGCCACCCTTGATTTCCCCTATATCAGCCCTCGATTTCCCCTATGTATCCGCCGCTACACAAAAAACTTTGGAAGCAATCATCTATTTTTACTCATCATGATTTGATTTGATGGACAACGTCATTCTAAATTTCACCAACATGGAAAATGATCGGTGTTATAAAATAAAAATGATTACTTCTCTATATTTCTTAACCTTCAGTATGTAACCAAAATTTCACCATTTTAAACATTGGCGTCACCAGCAGCGGGTGAACCGGACGGTTGGGAGATTTTAATATTGCTTCCATCCTCTCGGGTTGGACTCCGGACCGGGTTATCAAAAAAAAAAAGACGCCACATGTTCTAATTTGATAATTTCTTGCCCCCAGAATGCAAAAAAATAAATGGAAATCAATCGCGTTATCAAATTTCAATTTGAAGTGAGGAACAATGGAAGTACTTTGGCCATGAAAATGTTAATTTGAAAACCTCGGATTGTCAAACTAGCAAAATAGTATGATATCAAAAATAAAAATGACAAAACTTTACGTGCAAAAAGTAGCCCTGAAATAAATATAACGAGTACGAGAAACACTTTAAAAAAAAATATCAGTCGTCGACTTACAATTTCCCTTCCCCTTATTTTCCTCTGAACCGACGCAGGACATCAATACCTGTGAATTTCCAGTATTAAGTCCTTTACGTACTTGTAAATCTAATCTAATTTGTTTGACAAAAATGGATGAACCCAGCGTAATCCAACAAGAAAAACCCACGGACTGGAGCAAATCATACCAACAATTCTCTGATGCAATCTCCTCTCAATCCCTTCAACTCCAACTCAAAGCCCTCATCAGCTTCATCCACTTCTCTAAACGAGCCCCTGAGCCCATCACCACCCAAACAATCCCCATCATCATCAACCTCCTCAACTCCGCCCCAAACCCCACAATCCAAGAAGCAGTCCTCTGCTCATTATCATCCCTTTGTCGAAGAGTCGAGACCCCATTTACCGCAATCATTGGCCAATTGGGCACAATCCCAATACTCCTGAGGCTGCTGCCTGATTCGAGATGTGGGCACAGAAGGTGTTTGCTGAAATGCCTCAGAGACCTCGTGGCGTTCGATAATGCCAACAGATTGATTCTCGCGAGAAACGGAGGCTTGCGGTCGATTGTGGACGCGATTGTTGTGTGTAATGACGATACGAGGAAGTATCTGTTGGAGATTTTAACTGCACTGTCGATGTTGAGAGAGGTGAGGCGAGTAATTGTTGGTTATAATGGATTAGGTTTCCTTGTTGAAGCTGCGTCTGATGGTAAAATGTTATCGAGAACACGGGCAGCTCAGGCTATTGGGTTGTTAGGGGTTTCTAGGAGATTTAGACGCATGCTTGTGGATTTGGGAGCAGTACAGGCACTTGTTGGATTACTTCGTGGCAGTGATGATTCAAGTAGAATTGTTGCAGGCAATGCCCTTGGTATAGTTTCTTCAAACGTCAATTGTTTAGGGATGGTGGCTCAAGCGGGGGCGATACCGTTATATATAGAGTTGCTAAAGGGACATGATGCTCTTGGAAAAGAGATTGCAGAGGATGTGCTTTGCATTTTGGCTGTGGCCGAGGAGAATGACGTCTTGATAATGAATCATTTGGTGAGGATTTTGATGGGGAGTGAAGGACAAGAAGCAAAAGCTTCTGCAGTAGATGTTATTTGGAATCTTTCGGGTTACCAGTATTCTATTCCTGTTGTACGAGATTCTGGTGTAATTCCTGTTTTAATTGGGTTCTTGAGAGAGGGAAGTTTGGATCTTAAAGAGAAGGCTTCAGCGGCAATTGCACAGTTGAGTTATGAAGAGAAGACTAGGAGAGCAATGGCTGAAGAGGGTGTGATTCCTGTCCTTATTGAATTGTTGAGAGATGGTTCGGCGGATTTAAGGGAATATGCAGCAGAGTCACTGATCAATTTTGCGGAGGATTCACGGTATAGAGAAGGGGTCTCTGTAGCTTTTGAGATTCCATCGTTCTTGTCTACGCGAGAGAGGCTGAATAGAATTCGTGATTCAGATCGAGGCATGACGATGTCTATGAGAATGCTCAGCATAGAGCAACTCGCTTTGGACTTCGATTCTGTATAATTAGGGAGGTACTGCACATTTCATTGTCCAGTTTTAAACATCATTTGCTTGGTGGTAAAAACTCTTCCTGTGAGTGAAGTGTCATCTTCTATGACTTTATTTTGTTTATAGTGCTAAATGCTTGGCCCTTTGTGTATGCTTATTCTTCATCATCATCCATGGATGTTGCACGTCAGAATAGGAACTTGAAATCACATATCTCGTCTTTTGTATTCTGTGGAAATATTACATATAAGGTCTAGTTAAAGATTATTCTATGTTAATATAAAAAGTAAAAAAAAAATTGAAGGTGGAAACGATCTTTATACATGTCCACTGTGTGATAATATAAAAGTAAAAATTTTGACGAAGATGAGATTAAAACAATATGCTAATGGAGTCGTTGCTTCTCCAGGAAATTAATAATCGCACTTTCGAGGATATTGGCGCTCACCTAGCCATTGTAAAATAGAACAAATTTTCACTGTAGCCCTATTTTAAGTTTTTATTAGCAAAATCGACTGTATCATGTTTTATTTATCGAAATAGCCCCGGTTTCTCGCTACGTCAGCGCCGTGGTGAGAAAGCGGGTCGATTATTTTTTAATCGGCTTCGTAAACAGTCGGGGTTGCCAACCCCGACTGTTTAGTCCATCCCCCGCTAAGAGGTTAACTAAATGGTCGGGGTTGGGAACCCCGACCAATTCGTAATAGACCTATTTCGAATTGGTCGGGGTTCCCAACATCGACCATTTAGCAGAGCCCAGCTACCGCTGGGCTCAACCACGGACGACATGGTCGGGGTTGGCAACCCCGACCATTTAGCAGAGCCCAGCAAGCATCAGGGACCAAATGGTCGGGGTTGCCAACCTCGACCATTTAGCAGAGCCCAGACGCAGGGCCATTGTGGGTGCACAAAATGGTCGGGGTTCCCAACCCCGACCATTTTGCAGACCCCATTCGCAGGGCCATTGTGGGTGCACAAAATGGTCGGGGTTCCCAACCCCGACCATTTTGCAGACCCCATTCCAACCCACATTCACCTGAAAACTCATATTTCCTGTAGTACAAAATGTAATCACAAATAACACATGCTAATATGCAATCATACTCCTGTTATCAATCCACAATGCAATCACACACAAATATAATACGTACAATTCATATTTGTAAACTTAACATTATATCAAATCCATCGCAGCACAAACAACATATCAAGTCCAAATTGCAACTCAAACGCAAACATCCTATCAAGTCCATCGAAACTTAACAAATATCAACAACGCCCTTTCCCCTCGCTCTTCCTCTCCCTCTCCCTCTCCCTCTTCTTCCTCTCCCCCTTCCTCGATCACCTTCGACGTGAGCTCGGATAAGTTCCTCGTCCGGTTGTGTGTGAAGTTGGGAGTGCATGACATCTGTGTCGTCTCGAACCGCCTGTGAACATCCGGCCTGAGTCTGCTGTGAGCCGCCAGCTTCATCATGCGCACAGCTTGATCCCGCCCCCGTGTGTCCTCGTCGATGTCGCCGCCCGTACTCAATTGGTCGCTCCTCCTGTCCATCACGGCTTGCATGACACGTCCTCTGAAGAGCCGACCGTATCTTTTTTATCATTCGAAGGAACATGTTCCTCGGCTCCTGCTCGGTAGTCGTGCTCAATGCGTCATGTGCCATAGTAGAAAGCTCCTCGAGCTCTTGTACCTATAAAATAAAAACCGAAAGAAAATTATTATCAAGTGGATGGTGAGAAAATAAAACTCAGAAAATAATTGTATATTTTTCTTATACACTTACCAACTCTCTCTCGACTGGGCCTCTTGGTATGTACTCCTTCGGGGCTTTGTTTTCCTGAAATATCCACCGGCGAGTAATCCCCCAATACCACCGTAGGTACACACCTAGGTCAGGTGCATCAGCCCTCTCCATCACTACATGTTCCTCCCTTAATTCCCACCTATGGATGTAATTTCGGCGAATCATTTCCCAATTAGCACGATGTGCACCTTTTCTTGGATCTCTCTCTATTCTCTCCACAGGCGCTGGAATATGTTGCCGTAGTCCAAATTGTCGAAGCACACGGTCAGGCACGTGCATTTCGACAATCTCAAAGCATATAAGGGGGACGCGAGCACGCCATACATCCTCACCTTCTCGGCAAATATCCGGTAGTGACTCCAACACTAGCTCGTAGGGCATCCATTTGACCTATAAAGAAGATATTATGATATATTGATTGAATATATTTAGATATCGGTAACAATTGGTCGCATAATTGAATATATTTAGATATTATAATTTTTATACCTGTTCATCCTCCATCTGATCAAGCTCATTTCTGTAAAAGTTTTCATGCCCCTTTGGAGAGGTTTGCCAAGATTTGGACACATTCCATCTATTTTATATACAACGGGTTAGTATATATTGAAATAAAGCACGGGTTAGTATATATTAAAATAAAGCACTGAAATTACATGCATCTTAATAATACCTGCAGCCTAACGGAATATGGCCATCGAGAGCGCGGGCCTCCCTCAAATCAGGTGTTCCCAAATGCAATCGCTCCCATGACCATATCTGCAGCAAAGTGAGGCAGCCCTTCAATTCTTTATTGTGTACGAGTGCTGTTTTCATCATCTCTCTATACAAGTAGGCTAACACTGCACTCCCCCAAGATAACTCTCCACACTCTGATAGGTCCCCAAGAAGCGGTAACCATCTCACGTGCACGGAATCCTTAGTGGAATCCGGAAACAGAATAGTACCGATCATATGTAAAATATATGCACGGGCATAGCTCTTAATGATCTCATCAGTCGCATCGATCGATACATTCATAAAGTTATTCCTTAATCATTCGAGCTTGATCTTTCCCCCTTCATTGTAGGACAGTGACCCAACAATTCTTCACACGCCTTGACATAGTTGAAGTCATCGGTGCCCGTCACTGCATCACCATCTACTCTGAGACCAAGTATAACCCCAACATCCTGCAAGGTAATCGTCGCCTCTCCTTGGCGCAGGTGGAAAGTATTTGTCTCGGGCCTCCATCGTTCAACCAATGCCGTCAAAAGGGCTCAATCAAGTCTTACCCATTTAAGTTGTGAACACTCAAAAAAGCCGGCTTGACGCACATAATATTGTATCTGTGGATCCGTCAACTCCCAGCTAGAATGTGCACGGGTATGATCGACAATAGTAATACTCGGGGCCTGCATGTAGTAAACAGTGCAAATGTTCAGTAACAATCAACTACATTGAAATTTATATATAATTGAAAATAATAAAACTGCACTTTACCTCCCCGGTGTCTATCTTCGCGGATCGGTGGCGCTCTTGGTCATAAAGAACATCATGTGTCAATGGACCCGCCTCCGTAACTAAAATATCTGCACATATAACAATGATCCATTAATTGATCTATAATTGAGTCAGAAAAAAATTGATTTTACTATAAGCATTGATTTATAAGCATTGTTTGAGTTTTTTATAAGCATTGTTTGAGTTTTTTATAAGCATTGATCTATAAATGAGTTAGCATGAAATTACAAATGTATAAAATTGTACCAATTAATTGCTATCTATTTGGATTGGTTGGGCAATGAGATCTTCTATGTCCGGCTTGTCTGCAATAGCCACATCTATTTTTTTTCGGAGCTCCTTCCCGGCCTTCATCCATAGTACCTTTTAAGCGTACTGATCGTGGGTGTCCGGCTTGTCTCTTATAGCTTGGAGGCACCTGTAGACGGTAAAAAATACCTCTATAGGCTCACAGGAAATTCGCCTGCGGAAAGAGCTCGCACGCCCGGTTCGCTGGCACGGGCCTAAATCGCATGGACATCGCACATGCTCGATTCTAAGTTCGCCTTACGGTCGGCTCGCCAGCACGAGTTAAGATCGATTAGGATGGTGGAAGTTCGCCTTTCACTCAACTCGCCTGCCCGAGTCCAGAGTCGAATCCGCCAGCAAACCCCAAGACCGTCAGTACAGCTGGGTATCCACTACCCCACGTGCTGAGATGGACCTTCCCATCTCTCTCGACCCGAAGAGAGAGAGAGCGCGATACCCCAGGACCGTCAAACGGCCGCTCGTAGTACGCGCAGCACGAAAGCCTGGACAGGTGTCGAGTCAACCTGAGCATTCATAAATGCGACTCACCTCGGCTGTCTGAGTCTGGAGGTGGATCCGCCGGCACTCGGCAAGCTGGCTAGACCCACTCGAGTACTGTACACCTACTTCACCGCCTCTCCTGACCGGAAAGGAGAAAGCACCGTGCTCAAAGCACGCCGGGCGGTCACGCACAGTACAAGTGATCGGACAGACACTTCATCGATCTGCGAACTCATAAATGCGGTTCATTAATGCTGGTCAAATCCACTCGGATAGCAGTCGTTCGTTGCCTCACACACAAGATGGGCCTTCCCATCGTAGGTGACAGGACATAGAGCACAATCTCTGAATGACCATTCATGGTATCGAGGAAACGGCGAGACGTCTCTGAAGAGGATGTGGTCACATCCCACAATTCAAGGAGAAGTCGAGCTGTCCTTCTTTCATTTAAAAGCCCCTTCCAGCACGATGGAAGAGAGGTCGCAAAACTTGGAGAAAAAAGAGTTGAGACCAAGCTGTTAGCAAATCCTTGCATTACAGCACTGCTGCCTAGTTCCGAGCTCCGATCGCCGACGAACTAAGCAGACCCGAACTCCATTACCCCGAGCTTCTACTGCGAACTGAAGCTCTCCAGCAACCTCATTCAAACGGTCCAAGGGAAGCAGACTCGACCCGAGCATCGAGCGAAGCGTCCTATAGCCACCTAAAGTCCCCACACAAAACAAAGAGGGCCTTCCCTCTGCTTCTGTTGTAAACATTTGATTTGTTAGTTTGTAATAAGCTTTCTTATAAATACAAACGAAACTCCTTTCTTCGGAAGAATCAAATTTTCACCCTACAGAAGATGGCGACCACAGTGGGAGAATCCGTTCATTCAGATGAATTGGTGGTGGCGCAGTCCGACGAAGTTGCTGCAGGGACTACGGTTGAGTCCCTTGTGATCAAATTCGAGGGGTACTTACAATCGTCCTCTTCTGGCGGCAATACATCTCGCGATAACTGCATAGTCGTGCGGGTGGCCCAGCCCCAAGAGGCCGAGGCAACCAAGCCTGAGGGATCTACCCAAGCCGAGGCAGGGGGTTCTTTTCCCCCCAAACCAGTTGAGGCCGAGCCAAGATTCGAGAATGCGGGTCTAGGAGCTGCTGGGTGGGTCGATGAACGATCCTCGCAGACCCCTGTGCAAAAGGAATCAACCATTCGTGTCGACGCAGAATACGCCTCCGCCGTCGACATGAACGCTCCTCGTTCAAAAAGATCCAAACAGCGGCGACGAAAAGCTCTCGCTCGTCTCGAGGCACAATCCCTCATCCCCCACGACAGCCTGAATTATTATTCAGGCTGGAGAGGAATCAACCTCTTGAGCCAGGTTCCCATTTTTGGCGAACCGCTCAAATCAGGCGAGCCTAGCAGTTTAGGCGAGCTCCACTTCTTGAGCCAGGTTCCCAGTTTCGGCGAACCGCTCAAATCGGGCGAGCCTAGCAGTTTAGGCGAGCCCAATCTCTTGAGCCAGGTTCCCAGTTTTGGCGAACCGCTCAAATCAGGCGAACCAAACGGTTTAGGCAAGCCCCACTTCTTGAGCCAGGTTTCCATTTATGGCGAACCGCTCAGACCAGGCGGAACTAGCAGTTCAGGTGGGCTGCATCAAACTCCCACTTGGTCAAACCTTTAGATAGTTAGGACCAAAGCCACAATCCCCCGCCAATCCTCTTCAATAGGATGGCGGGACCCCCAAATCTGTCACGTTAACAGTCACCTCTGACAAAACAGCTTACCAGTCCTCTTCAATAGGATGGTAAGTCCATAGAGTTGCTCAAATCGCAATAAACTCCCACTGTCATGTTAACACTACACCTCTGACAAAATCAACTTACCAATCCTCTTCAAAAGGATGGTAGGTCCTCAAAGTCGCTCCGATCGCGGCAATTCCTATCATGTTAACGATTACCTCTGATAGCCGACACCATCATTCCCGCAAATGATGTTGTCCAATCAATCGTCACACTCATACGTCCCTGAACGATTTGATTCTCCCAGCACCGTCTTTCCCATAAAAGGCGTTGTTGTTTGATAGTGGCCTACTATGCGATGTGCTGCTATTTCAGGGTTCGTCTTTGCCCCAAGAGAAGACAAATCAGGGTTCGTCTTCATCTTTGCCCTAAGAGAAGACAAGTTCCCCCCTTATCCTCCAACCGGTGCATGAGGCTAAACTGTTCCCTTATACTCCGACTGGTGCATGAGTCTAAACTGCCCCCTTATACTCCAACTGGTGCATGAGTCTAAACTGCTCCCTACACTCTTAATCCAAATGCCTCGAAAGGCTAAGGATAGAGGAGAAATTTTAGCATTGAGCCTAAAAGAAACTCCTCAACAACTTACCATGCTAAGGGCAAGAGCATGGCTAGTCCAACTCAAACGGCAGTTGGTAAAGACAAATCAAGTCCGTTGATAGCTGAGGGTTTGCTCAAAATCCTAGAAGGCGATCATCAGCTGCGAGTGAAGAGCAGGGATCACTTTACGGGACTTCATATCCAAAGTGTTCCAGACCCCATGCGGCCTGATTCAGGTCTGAAAACTTTGGAGGGGGTTTTGTAGGCAATAAAAATTGCCTTTAAATCCTTATCAGAGAAGTTCAGAACAAAACTGCTAAAACCTCGCCCGAAATAGCAGAAAAAGGGGAAAACGCAGATATCTCCCAAACCGTAAGGAATTTGGCAAAACGGAGGAAGCGAACCGAAGCCTTCGGCTCGGTTCGGATGGCTCCATCTCGTCGAGATAGGCGATTTTCATATATAATTCGTCCAATTCCGACTTACGGTTTGAAAGTTACGGCCTATTCTTCAATCCATGCTCAGGAGCTCGCCTGCAACTCAAATTCGCCTGCAGTCCCAAATCCGCCTGCAGACCCAAGTCTGCCTGCGCACCTGAGCTCGCCTGCAAACCCAGTTCGCCTGCTAGCTCGCCTGCAGACCCAAGTCCGCCTGCAGTCCCAAACTCACCTGCAGACCCAGTTCGCCTGCAAGCTCGCCTGCAGACCCAAGCTGCAGACTCGCCAGCTCACTGTCAACTGCCCACTTGGAGTATGGGAACAGTTACATCAGTGGTCAAATCCCACAAATCAAGGGAGAGGGCACAATACTCCAGGCCCGTCAGATGGCCGTCCACAGTACGAATGAGCGGACAGGCGCCGAAACAGCCTGCACCCTCATAAATGCGGCTCACCTCAGTTGTCCAGGTGAAGGGACGAGAGCCGCCAACGCTCGGTGGTTGGTCAGATCCACGCAAGCATCTGACAGCCGTTGTCACGCATACGAGGAGGGGCTTTCCCACTCCTATGTAGCGTGATGCAGAGCACAGCTCTTCGAATGACCATTGACGGTACGAATGAACAGCAGGACGTCTCCGAACAACGTGTGGTCACATCCCATAATTCAAGGAGCAGTCAAGCTATCTCCCTCACCTCTATTAGTGGTCAAATCCCATGAATCAAGGGATAGCCCATGCCATCCCTTGCCTGTTAAAACCCATCTTCAGCAGCATGAAGAAGGGGGATTGGCCGTTGCATATTCTGCTGGCTAATCTCCCAAAGGTTGAACCTGGACCTTTGCCAAAGGCTCCCTCATTTGAGAACCGAAGCTCCGGCTCCGGCATCAACTTCGATCGGATCGTCCAAGGGAAGCAGACTCGGCACGAGCACCGAGCGAGGCATCCTATCGCCACCTAAAGTCCCCACACAAAACAAAGAGGGCCTTCCCTCTGCTTCTGTTGTAAACATTTGATTTGTTAGTTTGTAATAAGCTTTCTTATAAATACAAACGAAACTCCTTTCTTCGGAAGAATCAAATTTTCACCCTACAGAAGATGGCGACCACAGTGGGAGAATCCGTTCATTCAGATGAATTGGTGGTGGCGCAGTCTGACGAAGTTGCTGCAGGGACTACTG